CTGGCCATGAAGGAAATGGGACAGCCGATCTTCCTGGGCGTCAGCACAACCTTTTTGGCCATCTTGCCCCTGGCCTTCTCAGCGAGCCAGGCCTTCCGCGTGTTCTTCCAGATGTTCTTTGGCATTGTTGTGGCAGGCGGCTCACACGGGTTGATTTTCCTCCCCGTCTGCATGTCGGTGTTCGGGCCAAGCGTGACCAAGACTACCAATTTGGAGACAGACGCAGAGGCTGCTGTTGGCAAGGTGGCCAATGTTGAGACGAAATGAGTCGCAAGGTTGTTTTCTCTACTTTTTTTGTCACCGCTAAGCGAGGACTTGTGTCCTGGACGGTCGCACGTAAAACGAGCTGCCTGTCCTTTGAATCTTGCAGAGAGAACTCTCCATGTTTTCGATTCACCTTCCTGGCAAAAATCAAAGCCTGTCTTCAGGGCTGGGAAAGGTGAGTCATGGTGAGTTTTTGTGTGCAGCCTACCATGATAGGGGTGCACCCCTAACATGGTTGAACAACTGCACAAGTTAATTATAGTTATGTCGCATGCCTTACGTTGTCACATACTCCGGGGGCGGAAGGGTGTTGAGCCCTCTCCCTTGGACTGTGTTTCATCAGTAGCTCGTGCAGGCGAGAGCTGGTCCTTACGTTGGCAGAATCTGCAGGTATTGACTAGCAGATAGCTGTTTCGCGTGGAGCCCGAAAGAGAACCATGTTTGGATGGCAGCCCCCGGAATGCCTCAGCTACGCCGCGAAAGCATGGTCACTATCTGCGAGTTTGGGTGCCTTAGCATACCTGCATCATTTGCATCCGCCAGCCGTGAGTCAAGTGCCCTGACGTGGGCTGCGCAAATCGAGATTATCTGGTTTTGTTTTGCTGGCTCGAGCTGCATCCTAGCAGTGACGAGCCATACTGACGTAGCGAAAGCAGAGTTGTCGCACAGACGTCCACAGCAGCAGCAACAAATCAGCAGCGAATTTGGTGAAAGCTAGCAGATAGCTTCGTGAAAGCAATGTCAAAATCTCCCGAGGCGCGACTGCATCGAAAAGGTTTATTCCCGGAAGCATGATTTGCTTGGACTGTTTTCAAGGTAACGCTTGGTTGATATCTGGAACCTGATTTGCCACGTTGGGATGTGCTGGAGTTTCGAAGCATGCACACAACACACTTTGGTGGCAAGTTTGCAACCGAAGTACCATGTCGAAGGCTTAACATGCAGGTGTTGCCACAGTCTTTTCCTAGAGTCGGCGGGTTCCAGGCATAGACGGCCTTCAGCAAGGGTAGGAGGCCCTGGAGCCCCAAGTTTTCTTGGCTTTCCGGCTTCATGGCTTCTTATTCCACGGTTTTCGAAAAAGGCCAAGCTTGCGCTACCCCCGATGAAGGAGGAGAGAGCAGAGTAACCGGGTGACAGACCGGAAAGCGAAACACCCAACAACAGATACTCTCCCAAATTTTCTGCCTCCATGCTGCGAGCATGATGAACTGCAGCCTCCGCTTCCGTCCAGGAGGATGAGCTCACAAAGGCTCAGGTGCGGGCTGGCCATCGTTTGGGACAGATAGGGAGAGCCTTGCCGCGGAGACTTTACTAAGTAAAGCAAGATACCAACCTAAGCTTACAAGACAGTGCACGTCGGCATGGGGCAGCTGACTATAGAACGACACATTTATGCCAAGACGCCAGGAGCGTGTGATGCATCAGCAATGGCTGAGCAATAGTAGAGCAGCCTTTCGAATGGCATTGGAAGAGATTGCGAACGGTCAGTCCATAATGCATAAGAAGTTCAACCCAGGGTGCGTATACTAGATCAACAAGCAAGTGGTACCATGTTTTCAACTTGTAAGTTGACTCACATGCGGAAAAATCTAAACTGGAAGGGGTGGCATATGGCCAACATATTGCCAGCAGACGCCTGCTATACTTTGAATCGAGTAGTACCGGAACGGCATGGGCAGTGTAGTCTTGGTATACATTTACCAGCCATTACCACTGTGGTTAGAGTTGCCGTTCTGCTTCCTTCAGTATGACTAACTATCCCAGTGAACCCTCTGTACCTCCTCATTTCTTTTTTGTTCCAAATTACATCTTTCTGGGTCGATCATGGGTAATCGGTGCATTGTTCAGCAGTTGGTCTGTTTATGTATAGGCACATACGTATCTATATGTGTGCATGTATGCCTGTGTGCATGCATGTACCTATGTATGTATGTATGTATGTATGTATGTATGTACGTACATGTACATACATTGATATACATGTATATGTATACACATGACGGTCAAAAGCAGGCGCACACACACAGAGACGCATATACATATGTACACATGATGCACATATGCATTTCTGGACATACATATGTAAATGCACATGCGTAGGTGAAGGTTTGTATGTATATAGTCTTATTCGTACATTCGCGCATGCATACATACATGATTAAAAAGTTATTAAAATATGCATACAGCATACATATGTGCGTTGCATGCATGCACGTGTGCGTGTATACATGTATACATGCACACTCGCATACGCATGCATGTACGTGCGTTCGCAAATATGTACCCCGTACCCCTGCATTCATGCATGCGCACATAAATCGACAGATATGTGCAGACATTCATGTGTTGGTCCGTGCGTTGGATGCACATTCATTGTTCGTGCAGGCTGCTCTGGCACAGCGTGAGGCGGGTCACTGTGACACAGACCATAAGGGGAAGCATGCCAGCAAGCGTCGCACATATATACATCAGTCTCCTAGTCTTGTTGCTGCCCCTGCGCTCACATGTCGATTGCTTTTGCGGCTGAGGGCCGTGCAATTTTGGAAGGCTGATACGACAAGTTCTGCATGGCAGACGGTTTTGATGGTTCATTGGTTAAGGGCATCTGCATACGGGAGCACAGAAGCCCCCAGAAACAAACATGCAAAGAAGTGAAGGGCGTGGAAGGCGAGTATAGCAAGGACGGATCATGCTGTCACCGCAACATTCTTAGCCCCCACACTGGGATCACCGAAAGTTCAACCCGGCTTATTCCCACAGTCCACAGTTACCAGAAGCTGAGAAGCTGTTACCCGTTTCGGAGTGGTCTGCGGGTCTCTCTTTTTCTACGAGGCCACCTGCCTGCGACTGGAAGGCGAGAACTTTATTCTCAAGGCCCAGGCCGCTTGCCTCGAACAGAAATGTTGCCATTCGTCACTGTTCAAGGTTTCGTACACACACACACACACACTCTCCCTCTCTCTCTGCATGTCTGCCTCCGTGAGATGGACTGGGCTTGTAGATGGGGCAGAATCACACAGAACATGGAGCAGGTACAGCAGATGCAGAACGGCTCACAGGAAGTGACCAAAGAGGCAACCGTTTCACTGAGTCTGAAGCGAGGTGTTGTTGCATGGCTTTTCACTCCTGCAGGTGAGGTCCTGCCAATCTTACCNNCTGGCGCAGGCTCAGCAGGCGCCAAGCATCAGCAATCCACCCTGCAGGGCTTAGGGTCGAGCCTACACACACATACATACACATACTCACAAATACACACATACAACACACACACATACGTAGATACACACATACAGAGAGACAGACAGAGA